GTGCAATTAGCAAATATATGAAATTATTACATTTTACTATTATTGCAATAACTGTCATTATTTATATGAACAAGAGAAATACCAAAACGAAAAAATATTAAAATGTAGATTATCATTATTGTCAGCATGTTAGAATCACTCTCAAGACGATGAAATTCATTGTTATTCGAATCGCTCCGCTAGTGAATGAGCATTCTTCGATAGCTCAGTAATGAGCTTTCAGAAATCCTCGCAAAACCTTATTCTGCTTTTAAAAAAATCATGTTTTCAAGAAGTTTTAGCACTGTATAAGCGGCGATATATCTATTACTCACTATCATCATTCTATATTTCTCTCCGTTCTCGAGCTCGTTTTTATTTTCATTCTTTGTTCCTGTTTCCATTTCACAATCGAGTAAAGAGCATTCATCAACTCCAACCTGATATCAATACAATGAATAGATCATTTGGATCACGCAGATGCCTGGCCATCGCTTCAATTCTCTCCGCATTGATGCAGGCATCTTCATCCGGTAGATTATTCGTTGCACCTTCGAAAAACTGCGTAACTATCCTCGCTCCGGATGGTCTAAAAACTTTCACACTCATTTAGTTATAACAACAATAATTTCAACAATTTATCAATCATTCCAACAACTTTATGGAATTGTTATCATTATGACTTTATAATCATAAAACATTATTATTAGCATTATCAATTTTTTGCTTATGACAATCGCCACCATCATGAAACTGAACAGATGATATATATTTATCGTTACTGTTATCACTGTCGTATAGAGTGATCATTTATTACCACCCTGACACGAATCATGGAATAAAATTCAGCAAGTTGGCCAATCAAGTGACAACTGCAAACATTTTCTTAATTGTGTTTCTGGGCACACTCGCAATTCCCTCGACCACATGACCACCGATGGACGCCTCTGCTCCTTGCACCATACCCAGGGCTGCCTTACCGACCGCTGCCAGATGCACATTGTGATTCAGCTGATATATGCGTTGACCAACACTCAACTGTGATCCGGTCACTTTCAACGCCTTCAAGTGAAACATTTAAGCATTTTCTCATTCGATTCATTTGACAGCATTGATTACCACCTCATTGGAACGGAGAATTATTTCAGTCATTACCATTACAATAATCAGTATCAGTACTATTGTTTGATGTGATTATTATCGTTAATTAACATCAACGTTGTCTGCATTAAGTGTATCGCTTCT